AACCCTTTTTGAACCCATTTTCTTTAATCCTTGCTGTAAACATCATACGGTCATTCATCTGACAACACATAATTCACATTAGTAAAGCATAATTATTCTAACCAATTGCAATCGAGATGAGCATAAAGATTTGGTGTTTTTGCATTTCTTTATTTTATTTTGTATTTTGCTTGTAATTCTTCTAGCAAAGATTTGTAATGAAAAAAAATTAAGATTCTGAATATACTAAAAATTAGTTTACAATATAATTGTTATTGGAAAAATCAGACTCCTGTGTGATGGATGCTTGATATTTTGTGGTATTACTGAAAAGCTTTTAAGATGCTAAGCGTTATTAGAAAATATTTCAGAGTACTGAAGTTAAATACTAAGTGTTACTTAAAAAAAATACTTTTCAAACGCCGAGTATACTAAAAATTAATTTTAAAAATATTTTAGTATGTTAAATTTTTTAAAAAATAAAAAAAATTCATCCTTCCTTATTTTCTCCTAGTGTGGCATAGACTGGCGAAGAAGAATTACAGCTAACGTCAAAAGAAAGAAAAAAATTACGATCAAATCTTAAAAAAATTATTAAAAAATCTTAATAATAATCTAAGTATTTTATAATAAGTTTTAAAATGAAGAATGATTCTTTTAAAACTTTTTTATTTTTTTTTTTCAGAATCTTATTATAATTCTTTCCAGAAGAAAAGGAGAGACGCTTTTTTGATTAACCATACTCCTGGGAATATTCTTTCTAGCAAAGTCTTCACACATGATGGTAGGAAATTTTTATATGCTTGATCAACCTCCACCCCTAGAACAAGAGGACGAGGTCGATGAAGGAGCTTAGGTTCTGCTTTGTTGTAATTTCTTCCTTTTATTGAATACAGTTTTCTATTCAAAAAAAAAAAAAAAGAGATGCCGCGTCCTCCGGCTCCCCGCTTCGGTGGAGACGTTCCAAGTCAACTAATCCTTGCAGCCTGTACTGTACTGACTTCTCCCACACACCAAAAAGTGAAACGACACATTATTCAATGTTTTTGGCTTTTGCCACACTCCTCTGCTTACTTTCCCTCCCACTCCATTGCCCATTCCCTTCACCATGCGTTCCTTCATCCCATACCTTCAAAACTCTCGCCAAAACGAATCTTCAAAAATCTCCTGTTATGTCATTCGACCTTTTCATTTCATTTTGACGTGGATCCAATCAGAGTTCACTTTCGTACTACGACACCGCATAGCTCCTGCAGCTAGCCAGCAAAGCTGGTTGCTCCGTCAGTCCCAGAGCTCCCATTGGCATTCCGTTCCAACCAGTTACCTTCATCTCTTCCCCCTACTTTCCTTTTCCCGCCACATCCCCTACCATCCTCTCACTTTTCAAATCCCTTCTTCTTCTATGCCTATATGTACCATATAGTGAACCCTGTCTTTGCTTGTGTCATTCAGTTCTGTGACACTCATACCTACCATCCACTTCCTCATATTCCCTCTAGAAATGGTTACACTAGGCCTCGGCTCTCCCACTGCATCCACCAACAACTCCATCATCCTCCATCCCCAACCACAGTCACTCAAGGTCGCACCCATCACAGCCTCTTACAATGAGTGTATTCGCCCTATCCTTGATGCCATTGAAAGCCTCAGGCGCCTTAACATTTCCCAAGAAGGCGTCTACCTTCCTTCCATTGTCGTTGTGGGTGACCAGTCCTCTGGCAAGTCTAGTGTCCTCGAATCCCTTGCCGGAATCAGCCTGCCACGTGGCCAAGATATCGTCACCAGGGTCCCTCTAATCATGAGGCTTCAAAACCATCCTCTCTCCAAACCCGAGCTGGTCTTGGAATATAATGGTAAATCTGTGCCTACAGACGAGGCTCATGTCTCTGAGACTATTAATGCTGCCACAAATGAGCTTGCAGGCAAGGGAAAAGGCATATCCAACTCCAGGTTAACTTTGTTGGTGAAGAAGAATGGGGTTCCTGATCTGACAATGGTCGATCTTCCTGGTATTACTCGGGTGCCTGTTCGTGACCAGCCTGAGGATATCTATGACCAGATTAAGGGCATTATCATGGAGTACATAAAGCCCGAAGAGAGCATTATTCTCAATGTTCTAGCAGCTACGGTTGATTTTCCTACCTGTGAATCCATCAGGATGTCACAGAGTGTGGATAAATCTGGAGAGAGGACCTTGGCTGTGATCACAAAGCCTGACTTGGCCCCACAAGGCCTGCTGGAGAAGATCACCACTAATGACGTGAATATTGGTCTTGGGTATGTGTGCGTGAGAAATCGCATAGGGGATGAATCCTATGAAGAAGCTCGTGTGGAAGAAGCTAAACTCTTTGAGACCCACCCACTTCTGTCCAAATAGACTCGTCAATTGTGGGTGTTCCTGTTTTGGCACAGAAGTTGGTTAAACTCCAAGCACTTAGCATATCCAAGACATTGCCAGAGATAGTAAAAAAGATTAATGACAAGTTCAGTTTTTACCTATCGGAACTTGAGTGTCTACCCAAGAATCTTGCTTCAGTAGCCGAAGCTATGAGTCTTGTGATGCATCAAATCGGCTTATCTGCAGAATCACTGAAGAAAATTCTCATCAGAGGAGAATTTGATGAGTACCCTGGTGAGAAGCACATGCATTGCACCGCTCGCCTTGTTGATATGCTGAACCAGTACTCAAACGATCTCCACACATGTCCTGCTAGTGATCCCGCCAAGAGCTTTTTGATGGAGGAAATAAAGGTTCTTGAGGAAGCCAAGTGCATCGGACTACCAAACTTCATGCCTCGCACTGCTTTTCTGACTGTCCTGCACAGTAAAGTGAGGGGGATTTCCGGCATCCCAGTCGGGTTCATCGATAAGGTATGGGACTATCTTGAAAGCGTGGTGCTTAATGTTCTGATGCGTCACACAGAACACTATGAGCTTCTTCAGAAGTGTACTCGACGATCAGCGCGGAATCTTATCGCTAAGATGAAGGAGCAATCTATCAAATATGTTATGGGCATAGTGGAAATGGAAAAGCTGACTGATTACACTTGTAATCCTGAGTACAGTTCTGAATACAACAGGCTAATGGCTCAGAAAGATGTCTTCATGAAAGGTAAAAATCAAAAGCTAAGTCAGGTAAAGCTTCAAGACATTGGAGAAGTTGAAATTGCTCATCTAGGGCGGTACCCAGAACATGACACTAATCAAGCATTTGACTTGAAGATGAGGATCACTGCATATTGGAAGGTAGTGGTGAGGAGGCTCATTGACAGTACTGCTCTTCACCTTCAGTTCAGCATCAACAGCCTTGTGAACAAGGATTTGGAGCAAGCGATTATTAGTGATTTCATGGGTCCATGTGGGGGTGGTATTGAAAGCTTGCTGGTGGAACCTCCTTCAGTTTCTGGGAAGAGAGAGAGGATTAACAAGGGGCTTAAAGTCCTCAAAGAATGCAAGGAGGTTGTGGCTAATATCATGGATGAAATCTCAAGTTATGGGGTTTAGGATTTGGTTTGGAGTGTGTTAATTCATTTTGATGTCCATGTATGGTTCTGATCTGAGTCCTGCAACTAGCAAGGACTGCTACCAGTAGAAGAAAGAGTAACTAAACAGTCATAGAGCCTTTTGTTCTTCGTTTATCATGCTATGATGTTGCGATTCGAATTTGCCCTGTTTTTTTTTTTTTTTTTTCCTTCTCCAGGTGACCACCCGTCTGCTACGCGTTTTGTTGTTCTCCTTATATTCTGATTATCTCGGCAAAATAAAATTTGTATAATAGTTTAACTTGGATATTTTTTGCCGTTAAATAGTTATCTTTTCAAAGTTAGTTGTTTTTATTTTTAAATAAATAGTATCAGAAGAAATAATGCTAAAGATAGGCAATAATTATCCAGTGTTTTCACAACTTATTTTTATCACCTAAGCCAGTTTCAGATTTCTTAGGACTTACGCTAGTTGTTCATTAAATATTAATGATTTTAATTGAAAACATAAAAAGAAGTAAATCTACAACCCACAAAATTCTTACCATTTGACGTGAATACAACTTCATTTCAATTAATGGAAAAAGAGAGCATTTGAGATTCTTTGACTTGTGATTGTTATTATTATAAAGGGTAGAATCACAAAAATAATTAATACTCTTTTATATTTTAAGATGACTGATATTTTGGAGAAAAAACAAAATCCCTAATTGCAGTTTTTTATTATAAAAAAGTCCTTTTTTTTTTATATATATAGAAGAAGATTTAACAGAAGAAGCTATTTCTATAGTTTTATTTATAAGGTAGAGAAAAAGATTTTTTTTTAGTTTTATTTATAGAACACCGAGAGAAATTTTTTATATAAATGTATAATTTTATCTTTTATTTATTATTATATTAATTTTTTTATATGAGGTATAATGTATATTAAATAAGGATTAAATTAAAATGTTATTAAATTTTAAATATAAATTAATAAAATTTAAAATTTTTCCTAATCTATACACAAGAAAATGACTTATAAACAGAAACTGAGAAATAATCTCTTATAATTTGGGGAATTCAAATTTTTGTTTGGAGAATTGCCTCTACTAGAATCTAACAATATTTTAAATTTGATTATGTATTAACAAAATGAAAAGCTTGTAAAATTTAGGCACAAAAAAATTTAGTTATTTATTTGTTGAGTGGATTTTGTTGACGTCGTTTTTGATATATTTATGGAAAGAACAAATTACATGGTATCGTCAAAAATATACCTAAATGTGGGATATTTGATTTAAATAATTTTATCGTTTAAAATCGACAAGTAATATTCTTGGGAGTGATCCAAATGTTCACGAAAACTGGAATAAAAGATAAAAGATGAGTCAACCCTAAAATCTCAGTAGCATTTAAGAGTTCAAACTTGAGAGACGAGAGAAAGAGAAAAGGATTAAAAGAGAACCGTATGTGGTCCCCACAGAATACGAAAAAAACGCGTTTTTCAGACACAAATGTTATTCCAGTCAAATGCCTGCCTTTCAGAGCGACAAGCAAAGCAAAGAACAACAACGAAGCTCACCAACTACAAAGTCCAAGCTTCCCAGCCCCTTCATATTCTCTCTTCCCCAAAAAATCAAAAAAATCTGTGTTGTGCAATACATAAATATGCGATTCCAAACCACTGAGACATTTTCCTGTTCATCTTCATCCTCTTTCCTTCGTTGAATCCTGAGGTTTCATTTCAATTCATGGATAACCCAGCAACAGCAGCTGCAATAAGAAGCTCCAGCTCTGATTCTCTCGTTGCAACTCTTTGCAACTCAATCCAAGCTCTCGGTCGAGGCTTCGATGTCACCTCCGATATTCGTCTTCTCTACTGCAAAGGGGCAACTGGGTCGAGGCTTGTTCGTCTCGACGAGGACCATGCTAGGGATCTTGTTGTCTCTCGTGGTGTTGTTATTCCAAATGTCCCTGGGGACATTGATTGCTCGCCAGGGGAGATTGGTGTACAGAAGACCCCGGTGTATAGTTTCCATGAGGTGATTGCTTTGATCCGTTTTGCTTGTAGATTTTGATTTCTTGGCTTGCTCGTGGCAGTATTCCGCACAAAGGAGCCCCCCAAAGAAAACTGGGAGCATAAGAATTCTGATTTTTTTTTTAGTAGATGATTTTTGTTTTGTTGTAATTGCATTTCTTTGTTGGTAATTGGCTTGTAGATTCCAGTGACAATTCGTATGTTTTCAATGCAGTGCCTAACTCTATATGCAGGTGTTTCTTTCCCTTCCTTCATTTGACTTCTGCAGTGTATAGAACTTAAGTTGGTTTCAGAATGATTAGACACGGACGTTTCTTTTCCTTCCCTCCTATTGTTATCTGAGAATGGTTAGAATTCTGACACATGCCTAATCGCCTGACCTATCTCCATAGTTCAATTTGGTCTTTTGGAAGCTTATTTCGTGTTGTCCTAATCAATGTGATTTCTGTAGATTATACCTTTGCCTTTGCCAATTATGAAAGATTTAGTTTTCAATCTGCAATAGACAAATCAATTTCTACTTTTGGGAAAGTACGTTTCGTTGCCAGTAAAGGTCTCTTCTTGTGGAGGATAGCAACTAAATAATCAAACTGATGTTCTATGCCATTCTTCCTAAGGCTTTTGTTTTGGGCTAATGATGAGCAAGTAGTAATATGATGCGTGTGCTGCATATCTTGTGGATGTATTGGCAAATATCTCATTTCGATAAATCATAGGAAGATTCTGTGGTGCACATTAATGTGCAAGTGCATTGGTGTGATGAACAATGAACTTTCGTTGTGTTGGTAACAACATTCAAATGTGCTGGAAACATTTTGCTAATATGTTAGTAACTGCCACTTTTACTAGCAAGAACATTGAGCAACATCTAACTAGACTGATGAGAAGGCTTTGCTAATTTCATCATCAAGGTGTCGATAACATGTTACCATTTATAGCCTTGTAGGTGTTAGTTACCCATAAATTAGCTAGATGTTACCCACACATAAAAATTTGTATTACCCATAAATTTTGAATGAAATAGTTATAATAATATCATCTGGGAGTTGATTAACATCATATTATTAAATTGACTAAACCCTACTTTGGTATGCCTTAAGAAGTTAAAACCATTTAGCTGAAGTTCTGAATGCTTCTGAGTTATGATTATTTGTTTTCTCTATATCCAACAAGGAATTGTGTTAGATTATCTTGCAGGCTTCATAAGATTAAGAACTAATGCCTCGATTGTATTGAACAAATTAGTCTTACCACAGAAGTTCTTCTCGAGATTATTTAAGTCTGGTATTGTTTATTGTTCTTCTTAAGGCTTGAAACATAGTTCCTAAACAGCTTAAATGATAGAAAAAAATAACAAATTGTTCCAAAAGTTCCAGCATCTAAACTGCATTGGGTGAGCATGATTGTTCACAACCTTGCAATTTTGTCGAAATGATAGAGTAGTTGAGAAATGAAGAACAAAACCAAGAAATAAAAGGTTGAGAAGTCTGGGATATGCACTATATCTTTTAGAACCTACTTCTAGACAATTTTTTTTAACAATCTCTGCAAGTTTGGCTTTTTCCTATGTTCTGGAACGATTGTCTATTGTTAGTCTTGTCTTCTGGTGGAATTGATGATTGACACTACATATTGTATATAGTTGGCGGTGCTGGCCTGGTATCAAAGTTTATTCTAGTGGATTGTGAAACTACAATAGTTTGCAGTGGGAAAATCACCTTGTGAGTCAGCACTGTTATGCTTCATTTATGCAAGGAATCCTCTCAAATGAATGGGACATTAGGAACTCTTATTTCTTGACAACTTATCATTTTACCAATCGTTCAATGATAGGGTTCTATTTCAGATTAAATAGATGAATAGCTATCTTGATGGATTAGGACTTATATATATTTGTATAGACTCCATTCGTTGTTTTATTTTTGTGCTCACTGCAAGCTTTGAGATTTCTTTAGGAAGAATCGCTTTATTGTGAATGAAATCATGTTTTTGTTCCGTACATGAATGTATTAATTGTTTTTCCTGTGTTGCTTTTCTTACCCATAAGATAAATGGCTGTTTCTCTGATGAGGGTGAGCAATTTTTCCCATTCCTTGAACAGTGTTCGTGACCTTGTAATGTTTAATTTTCCAGATGGCAAAGTATTTTAATGAGATGTCAGGCATAACAGCGCAAATTCCGCTGGGAAGCTTCAATACGATGTTCAATTTTACTGGCTGCTGGATGGTTGATGCTGCAGCCACAAAGTCCCTTGCCATGGTTGGATATTTTTTCCCTCTGTTCAAAGTCAAATTAAATAAACTAAATCTAGCCTTGCATGAAGATATCAAGCGTGCTGTTCCTTACTCTTGGGATCCAGCAGCCTTGGCGAGGTAAACTATTTTTTATTAATTGATGTGAATAATATTCAGGCGGTTCTTAAGTTATTCAGATATACTCCTCCAGTCCTTAATATAGGATCTAATTGTTGAGTTGATTTTGGTCTTAAATATAAGATCTATTTATCATATTTATCAATTTTTTCTAAATTACCCTATGAATACTTCCTCAATCATAATTAAGTAGAAGAGGGAGAGAGGATATTAAGGAAGATGATAATGATGTTTTAGGAAAAACATGTCATATTTCTTATAATTAACTAACTTATCTAATTTTCTTAATCTAATCAAATTAGTTAAATAGGTCTTATATTAAAAATCAGAGGAGTAGTTGAAACCATGAGCTGAAACCAATGCCAGCTGTAGATTCTTAGTCCTCGCCTGAATTTGGACTGATATTCAATTTACCTAATTGACTGTAAGGTCTGAAACTTGATATGAGGATATTACCAATGTATAGGTGAAACAAGTGATTGGTTTTATAATCTGTTTGTGGTGTTGTTCTAATTTGTATCCACTTCACATTTTGAACATATGCAAGAGTAGTGATCTAAGAAAATAATATATCGGTATAATTTGTATTGGATATAATTTTCAATAACTACAATTCCCAATGCCAAATGTGGTGGCGGTGGTATAGTAGGAAAAAATTTGAAAAAAGCATACCTTCTGATGTTGAGTTTGATGGCTTTGATTGTTCATTGCTATTTTCATATGTCAAATGTCATCATAAAATAAAATATCACAATTTTCTCAGTTGCAGAACTATGGTGGAAGTGATTGCTCGAAATGTATATTTATAACCTTGCTAAGTTTGATTCTTCAGAAAGCTAATCCCCCTTCCCCACAATAACCTCAAAATAAGAAATTGTTTATTATATCAATTAGATGGTATGGATGGGGTTAAGTTCTAATCACAAACTTCTGCCCTTTTTCCTTCTCAGTTTTATTGAGAATTATGGTACCCATATTGTTACATCAGCAACGGTTGGTGGACGGGACGTAGTTTATATCAGGCAGCACCAATCATCTAGTTTGTCAGCTTCAGACATTCAGAACTATATAGAGGACATAGGAAATGATAGGTTTGGTGTAAAAAACCTGTCAAGTCCTGGTCCTTTAAGGTACAAGGAGAAGGTTAGTATCAAGAAATGCCCTTTTCTGCTTATAATCAGTAAGCTGATAACCTTTTTTGTCTGTGTATATTCATGCAACTTCCTTTAGCTTGCAAAATACTTTCTGGCTTGGTCCTTGTTGCATATGAAGATTTCATTCCTGCTATTGCATCCTATTTTCCACTCATCTAATGCATAAATTATGGAAATTTCAATTAAGTGGCCTCTCCATTTGTTGGCGCAGGATGTTACTGTCATTTTCAGAAGAAGAGGAGGGGATGATCTTGAGCAAAATCATATGAAATGGGTGGAGACTGTAAAATTGGCACCAGACGTTATTAACATGACATTTACACCCATTGTGTCTCTTCTTGAAGGATTGCCAGGTGTAAAACATTTGACCCGTGCAATTGACCTGTATTTGGAGTGTAAGTTCTGATTCCCTTATTAATTAACACTTGCGTGTGAATGTAAAAATGATTACAATTATTTAAGGGAAAGTCTACAATTTTGCAGATCGGGTGGTATAAATGCTGCCTTCAACTATAGCCTTGTTTGACCTTAATTAATCCAATTTCATTCCATGTTCACCACACTACTTTGTCAAGCTTGAACTAGCGACCTGTGTATCTTTACTGTCAACGTTAACTTGAATAATTGAATATAAAATAATATTAAAGTGAGCTGTAGTACTAATGTCGCGTGAATTGTGATTTTAGGATAAATTTTGATACTAACTACTGTTAGATAGCTTGAAGTTCCCATGATTTTATCAAGTCTAAACCTCTGTTATATTACCAGACAAACCGCCAATTGAAGACCTACAGTATTTCTTGGATTTCCAAATAACTCGAGTCTGGGCGCCAGAGCAAAACAATCTGCAAAGAAAGGAGCCTGTCTGTCCTTCCCTTCAGTTTAGCTTGATGGGACCAAAGCTTTACGTGAGTCCAGATCAGGTATGGTTTACTAAATCCTACTCGAAAAACCAAGTCAAAATGGGCTTTTAAAGTAAAAGAATGTTGTTAAAGCTGTTGTTAGATTCGAAGCTAATAACAGTTTTAGCACTAAATTTAGTTTATTGTATTGAGATGGAAAGATGGAAATAGTCGGACTACTAGATGGCACAGATGTTTTGTTTCGTAAACTGGTATCACTCTGTATTATTTGGTAGAATTAAACGATATATGAAGCATGAAAATTTTTGAAAGCAGAGCCATATCTGTGTTCTACACTTGTTAAACATGATGATAGTATGCTTTTGATGTTTCTTCCCTAGGCAAATAACAAAATGACCTGGCATTTCAGGTTACAGTGGGTCGCAAGCCTGTGACTGGTCTTAGACTTAGCCTAGAGGGAAGCAAACAGAATCGACTTGCAATTCATTTGCAGCATTTAGTTTCTCTACCAAAGAACCTTCAACCTCACTGGGATGTGCACATGGCCATAGGAGCTCCTAAGTGGCAAGGTCCTGAGGAGCAAGATAGCCGCTGGTTTGAGCCAATCAAATGGAAGAACTTCTCCCATGTCAGCACTGCACCAATTGAATACACAGAAACTAGCATTGGGGACCTCTCTGGCGTTCATATTGTCACAGGAGCTCAGCTTGGTGTTTGGGATTTTGGTGCCAAAAACGTGTTACACCTCAAGCTTCTGTTCTCCAAGGTACCGGGATGCACAATAAGGCGGTCAGTCTGGGATCACAATCCCTCTACTCCATCGGCCACACCAAGACCAGATGGGGCATCTTCATCTTTAACAAAGAAAACCTCCGACGACAAAAGGGATGAAAGTTCAATCCACGCTGGAAAATTGGCGAAGATTGTGGACATGACGGAAATGTCTAAAGGGCCCCAAGATATTCCTGGTCATTGGTTGGTCACGGGGGCTAAACTTGGTGTGGAAAAGGGAAAAATTGTACTGAGGATAAAGTATTCTCTGCTTAACTATTGATTGATCTTCCTTTTTTCCCTCTTCTTTTTGGCAATATTTTGCTTTGATTTCCCTTCTCACTAGAAACTTTAGTCGAGCATTCTTTGCACAGGCAGCCTTGAGTTCTTTTACAATGTAGATTTGTTCTAGTCATTTAAAGTGTAGTTGTGCAATCATTGATTATACGAGTTCTTTACAATAGATTCAATTTTGTTTGCTTAAAGGACGCGATGGCATTGTTGAGAGACATTGATCTCTTCTCTTTTACACGAGTATTTAGTGCCCCCCTCTTCTTCCTCTCTCTCTCTCTCTCTCTCTCTGTTTTTTTTTTTTTTGGGGAGTGGGGTATGAACGAGATTCTCCTGTCTTTCCCCTGGTGAGAAGCAAGTTGGTTTTATTTTTATTTACTGGTTAGCTGAGATATAAACCAAGCAACTGTTTTGTATATTTAATGGATCCTTTGCCAATGGTATATGGCCATGGTAAGCTGGAAATCTTATCCATGAACTGAGCTCCAAGGTTTAAGATGGGTAAGAGAACTAAGAGTGATAGGAGTGAGAGTAATAAACATATACTTGTTACGGCACTATGAAATAAATGACAAATTGATAATGCCCGGTGATAGCCACAGAAAATTTAGATTGTAATGAACCCAAGAATTTTTTCGACTGTAAGGAACGTGAGGGGGGCTTGTCCCCATCAGCTACAAAATAGGTCCGACCCGGATTATACCAGACGTTACTTTAGAAAGTATATATATGAACATTTTCTGTTATTTTCATGTCGAAATAAATGTGTCTTTGTTGTGTGTCAGTTTATGAGAAAAATCAAACGAAAAGGTGGACCTCTTCGGCCACAAATGTATCATTCGGCCGGCTATATGAGATGCTAAAATATTGAAGACAATACAGAGCAAATGTAGACTTCAACAAAGAAATAAGTGGGGCCGTGCTACTCCACCTGACCAAATCATCAATACAGCAGCTTGCTGAAATTTCTCCATTTCCTGATAATTTATATTGTACATTCATTGACACTCGACAGGTTTAGCATCTATCAGGGGTGATTCTGTATTTAATTCATAACATAGCAACAAAAAGCTCTTTTCTGTACGCGACACTTTTGGTAGAAAACATTGGATTGTTGAGATTATTTATTGCTTGCCCCACAAAAGGATATTGTTTGTCAGTATGATGACATTTTTGTTAATAATATATGCTGAGATCAAGAGGGATGTAGATTACTTTTAGCCTAAAGCGACTGCTAATGACTGAAAGATCGTTTATAGTTGTGTCCAAGCGAATAAAGTTGTGTATTAAACCATTTCAAGTAATGGAAAGCTCGTGGATCATCCTCAAGTTTTTTCCCCTCTGGAGGGATGCATGAGTTTAATGCACTGGAGTGAATGATGACCAGATCAAAAACACAAGCACTGTCCATTTCCAGGACATGACCTCTTCAATTCACCAGGACCATGTAAAATATGAAAGTGCTCCTGTAAGTTACAAGTCCAAACGCCAACGTGACAGTTTTATAAAGAAGAGACTACTGACTCACATAGCATACGTGTTAAATGATGATCCCAGATATCAACTGGGACATAAGACCACGGTTAATATCAAACCTTCGCCTATATACCAAGTTATAAATTATAATCATGTGGCGCAGGCAGGATGTCTATATATTGAACTCTGCTTTGTGTCACATGTATTCATAACATGAGAGTCAAGTTATATTCTATAATTGGGTATCCAAACCAGAAACTTTAAATACATAACAGGTAGTAGTATTATAATTGGCCAAAAGTCAATAAACTGCTCGGGTAATTGACAGACAGTTAGATTATGTATTTTTTTATTGACCTATTTTTCTGTCAAGCCTTGTACTCGATTCTATCTATTTTGCCCGTGGTTTTCTTGCTCTTTTTTCCCCATTGAAATGAGCCACTCGGTATTCGAAAATCACATTGAACTCCGGCTGATCGAGATTTGAGTCAAGTTGGCACCAAATGAGAGCAATTCTCTGAAAAATGTTTTCTGTGTTCATACAGATTTAAATATCCATGACTTTTTGCCTAAGCAGACATAACCCCTCTATCTTGTCTTTCTTGATTGAAAGAGATCCATGGCGCATAACACTAAAGTTATTGCCGTGCAAACTAGTGGTCACAAGTTTGAGCTCAAGGGACTCTTCATGGTCAGCCTGGTTACAATAGACCCAAAGTGAGCCCGGCTCTGTTTGGACCTACGTGTTCTTGATTATGACGCTGTTAGTGCAGATGCCAAATGGCTTAGTGATGATTCCCAAGGAAAACCTCGACAGCATCCAATGTCTCATAACAAGCTTGTCAGAATGTACTACATAGAATCTTGGGCATGCCAGTCGTAAATTTAACAGAAGTGGAATATAATTACGTAAGAAATAAGAAACGGGCTATTTCCTTTTCAACGTAACGGCATTTTTCATATTCGACCAAGAATCATTATTGCTTTCTGAAAAATGAAATAACCAACTATATATATGGGTTTCTGCCAACAAAGAAATGGTCACACACCACCATCCATCGTCACCATTGGAGTCATCTGATGCACGCAGAAATATTTCTTTAATATGATGCTGAGTGTATATATAAGTTAGAGTTTGGTCTTGGTAGCTGCCACAGATCCAATTCTGCTTTTTCATTTGAATTAACCATAGTGTCGAAGGCCTCATCATCTGGACAGAACCATGGTAAGTAAAGTTTAATTTTCTCTCTCTGCATGGAAGACGCAGAACCAGTACTGGAATTATTATGTTGGTTTGTTTGCATGCAGGAAAAACCATCAGAGCAAGTAAATAATGGTCAGGAGGAGAAAGCAGCGCTGTTTGTGGCAGATAAAGTGGACTGGAAAGGAAGGAAAGCTCTCAAACATGAACATGGAGGATTGAAAACATCGTTGCTTATACTAAGTACGTATAATAATCTCTTGTCATTGTTCCAATCTTAAACGACCTAAAGACACAAAGTTTGGGTACTTATGTGTATGTGTGGCTGTATATATGCAGCGACGATTGGATTCGAGAACTTGGCGACGTTCTCGCTGGCAGTGAACTCTGTGACATATTTCAATGGAATAATGCATTTTGATTTGGTTGAGTCTGCTAATATGCTCACCAACTACATGGGTACGAGTTACTTGCTCGCCAGTTGAGTTTTTGGTATGTTACTAAAACCCTTTCAAACAATATTCATCATCCATGCATCCTCCTGCATAAATCCTTCGTTATTGTGACTAAATTTCTGGACTCACGATTGTATATATAGCTTGCATATGATGAATGACTGCTCCATGCATTGTTCATGGTGTTGCAGGGATTTGTGCTGCTAACAGTACAAGCACGCTATCCACACCTGAAGCCCCCACCATGCGTGATGTTGGATCCACGATCTCACTGTGAGACTCTAAGTGGCAGCCACAAGGCCCTTCTCTTCGTCGGCCTCTATCTCCTGGCTTTCGGGAGCTCCGGAATCAGAGCCTCCCTTCCATCTCATGGCGCTGATCAGTTCGACGACAAAGATCCAAAAGAAGCCTCCCATATGTCCACGTTCTTCAACTATCTCTTACTCGCCGTTTGCCTCGGCGGCGCCGTCAGCTTGACGCTCGTCGTCTACGTCCAAGACAACAAAGGCTGGGACTGGGGCTTTGGGATTTCCACTGTCGCTATATTCTTGGCCGTCATAATCTTTGCCTCTGGATTGCCTCTCTATCGACTTCAGATTGTTCAAGGAACTAGTGCTATCATTGAGATCATACAGGTACATATATGCTCTTTCCCAATTTTGCGTCTTCATGTCAGTGGCTGAAATTTTGACCCCCTGTTTGCTTTCATTTATTACCCATTACCACTATCCACTTATCATAATTCCTTCAGTCTTTCTACCACATCCGAATGACAATAATCCTTATCAATGAAGCATGATATGTGGATTTTTAACTTCTTTGTTTAATTTTCTTTTAATAATTTCTACCCACATAATTTCCAGGTCTTTGTTGTCGCATTTCGGAATATAAATCTTCCACTTCCTCAAGACCCTGCAGAACTCTACGAGATTGAACGGGACAAAGAAGCTGCCTCAGAAATAGAATTTTTACCTCACAGAGACATTTATAGGTACAATATATCCCTTATATCTCACAAACGTACATTTCAGCTTCACATTTTCATGTATGAATATCTTGTGTACATACAACGGGGACCCATATATGTATATATATATCCTGATTAAATCTTCAACTAGCTGCATATGTGCAAGCATTGGTTCTTAAAAAAGTTCCTGGTCCCATCAGGTTCCTGGACAAAGCAGCCATCAAAACCAAACCCACAGCAGAAGTGGAGAATTCTGGGCCTCCAAACCCATGGAAACTTTGCAGGGTCACGCAAGTGGAGAATGCCAAGATCATCGTAGGCATGGTCCCAATATTCTGCTGCACAATCATTATGACTCTGTGCCTAGCTCAGCTCCAAACCTTCTCCATCCAGCAAGGCCTCACAATGGACACCCATATCACAAAATCTTTCAAAATCCCTCCAGCATCCCTCCCAATCATCCCAATCATTTTCTTGATCATCGTTGTCCCTGTTTATGACCACATTGTCGTGCCTCTTCTGCGCAAAATCACCGGCATCCCCACTGGAATCACCAACTTGCAGCGTATAGGAGTCGGCCTCATACTCTCTTGCATCTCCATGGCTATATCTGCAGTAATCGAAGTAAAAAGAAAACAAGCGGCAAGAGATCACAATATGCTTGATGCTATACCAGTACATAATCCATTGCCCATGAGCACATTCTGGCTTTCCTTTCAGTACTTTGTGTTTGGCATAGCTGACCTGTTTACCTATGTGGGTCTGCTTCAGTTCTTCTACTCAGAGGCACCCAAAGCGCTTAAATCTACATCAACCTGCTTCCTGTGGATCTCAATGGCCCTTGGATATTTTCTGAGTACCATAGTGGTGAAGAGTGTGAATAGCGCCACCAAGAATATCACTAACAGTGCAGGATGGTTGGCTGGGAACAATATTAACAGGAACCATCTGAATCTATTTTACTTGTTCCTTTCTGTGGTGAGCTTGATCAACTTCTGTATCTATCTGATCGTCTCAAGCAGGTACAAGTATAGGCCTCAAGTCCCGGAATTCAAACAGGGGGGTTCCAAGGATTGATTGCAGAGAAGAAAATAAGTAGTGTATGATGAAATGTATAATTAGTGAAAGTTCAAGTAGTTTGTGCTTCTTCTTCTTCTTTTTTTTTTTTTTTTTTTTTGTGGCCTTTGGAAAAATGATTACGGTGGGATCAAATAGAGGTGTGGATATTTGTTTTCCTCACAAGTTGGGAGTTTTTAATTCTATCCATGTGGAAGTTTTGTCTGTACTTGAATTTGCTGTCGAATACATATATGATTTCATCCGAATGAATTATAGGAGAAGCTCATCCACAGGAAGAAAATGAACAATACTAATAATTATAATCACATAATTATAATAATAAGAGGAGCTCATCCACAGAGGAAAACCAATTGAGATTGTCTTTCAAAGGACCTTGTAGCTTTCCTAAATGCTTTCGTGTATCTTCATTGATCCATGTAAATCAAAACTATGATACATTTCACTAATCCATGCAAATCAAAACTATGATACATCCTCGTACAGAAATAAACTGTAACGGCTTGGACTATTCCTCCGCTGAAAGTCAGCAGAATCAATGAGATGGCATTTTCATATTCAAATAAGAACCATGCTTTTTTTAATTTGAAAATTAAAATAACGAGCTACTTGAGTTTTTGAAATAGGACATGGTCACCAACCAACCATTCATCGTCACCCTTAGAGTCATCTGATGCACGCAGAAATATTTCTTTAATTTAATGTGTTTTGCTAAGTCGAGTTTATATATAGGAAAGAGTTTGGTCTTGCTCGCTGCCAGCCAGACCCAGTTCTGCCTTTTCATTTGAATTAAACACAGTGAAGACCTACAGAGCCATGGTACGCGCAGTTTTCTCTCTCTGCATGGAAGACGTAGGACGACCGGTTGATACTTTTAAGCTTCTTCCTCATTACTGAATTATTAATATTACATGTGTTCATTTATTTGCATGCAGGAAAACCCTGAGAAAGAAGCGCTTGTTGTGGTTGATAAAGTGGACTGGAAAGGAAGGAAAGCTCTGAAACATGTACATGGAGGAATGAAAACTTCCTTGTTCATATTAAGTATGTAAAATCTCGTCAGTTATATATATATATATATATGCGCACAGACTTGAAAGTTAACGACTAGCATGTGATTGTGACCATGACAAGGTCATGAACACAAACGAATGACAGAACAAATCTTAAATTTGGATGCTTTTGTTTGTACATGCAGCGATGTTTGGGTTCGAGAACTGCGCGACGGTGTCGCTAGCAGTGAACTCGGTGACATACTTCAATGGAGTAATGCATTTTGACCTGGTTGAGTCTGCTAATATGCTCACCAACTACTTGGGCACCAGTTACTTGCTCGCCGTCCTCGTCGCCGTCGTCGCTGACACTTGGTTTGGCAGATTCAAAGCCGTCATCGTCTCTGGCTGCTTTGAGTTCCTGGTATGTCCATGAAGTCCCTTCACATATTCATCATCACCCTGCTAGTACAAGTTCTAAAGGAAATACTCCCTCCACTCCTAAATTTGGTTAGTTGATTTGTTTGGTTTGGTTTTAAATATAAAAATACTAATTCACTGTATTTCTCAAATTTATATTACCAATCTTATACTTATTAATTACATATACTTTAACAAGGGGGATAATATTGCTACATTTCGAAACTTTTAGGTGATTTAAACCCAAAATAACTTTCTGGGCAATATTGTTTATGAGCGAAAATTTTCAAAATAAATTTGTACTTTCACTTATAAAAAGTTAGTGCATAGAAATTTAAAGTAACAATTGTATATATATTGATGGTTTTCAAAACGTCAATGACTTACATGATTCAAAATCATGTATGAAAGTAACAAGAGACCTAATGGTCCCCTCATTGATATATATATATATATATATATATTTAATAAATATAAATTGTTTAGCTGAGTGGCACAATTGACAACTACAAAGGAACAAAATAGAGAAAATGAGGTTACATAATTTAAGTAATATTAAGTTAGTTGAAAATTTTGGAATATATGCATACAATAACGTACTACATAAAATTTGATATGTCCTCTACTGATATTTGTTTGTTAGTTTATGCTATTTAATACATATAATTGATCCATCACATATGTATTTAGATCATTTTTTTACTTTAATAATTCAAATTGGATTTGTCACGAAGTACACCACCAGATCATCGTTTTAAGATTGACGTTCAATACTGAATTATATATGTTGCAGACAGTACAGTTTTATTGGGATTTGATTAAAGTAGACATAATATCTGATCAATCTACTCAGGCCCAAAAAAAAAGAAAAACCTGATCAATCCATATAAAATGTTAAAAGCTACAAGAACTTAGATCATTTTACGTACGAACCATAAATATTATAAAAGATGAAGATATAATTTCATGCATAGTACGTTCAGAAGAAAATATTAATTAAAAATTGAACAGACAAAAAGAAACAACCGTCACCTTGTCTTTTTCTAATTAAAGATCAAATGATCTATGATATTATGTTGTTTATTTAAATTAAAAATTATTAATTGTGTTAGGTTTAGCAAAAGGGATTAGTTATTTACAACATAACGAATAAATATTTGAATTTTTATTGAGAGAGCTGCTGGAAAAAATATCATATTTAGAGCCCAATAGCATTTCTAATATACTTTTAATAGGAAGATACCTGTGCATATATATTTTAGAAAAAATGTCATATCTGTTATACTTAATTTATTTATTTGATTTTTTTAACCTACTAAAATTAGTTAAGTAGCTCGCATTGGTAATATGTATTATTATGGTCATTATGTTCATTTTTATAAGAAACAATTTACCACCTATAACTTGTTTCTATTTGTAAGAAACATCTAGATGATATCTCAATTTTTTTTAATTAATTTTTCATTTTACTTCCATTTAATTACTTATTTTAATATTAAAATATTGATTATGAGACAACTCCAAAGCATCCTCTTGGCAAGCATCCTCTCTACCCACAAATACTCTCTTTATTACCAAAATTCTTTCTACTTTAATAATTTTCTTATTTTTTTCCTTATATTCTCTCGTCCCCATAAATTATATAAGAGTATTTTTTTAGAAAAATTATGATTTTTTACATATTTAATTTCTCAAACCCATTTTAATTAACTTTGTATTAATTCGATTCGATTGTTTCTTAAAAGGGGGGAAAAAAGGAAACGAAGGGAGTAATACTTTTGCATGCTTGTTTTATTTTGGCCATTACATGGAGTCAATGCTAGGCGAGCTTACCCTAAAATGTAGCAAAATGCATGATTGCCTCCACACCTACGAGTATTGTAATGGTTGGGTGCACGATCTCGCAGGGACTGGCTCTTCTGACAGTTCAAGCACACTACCCACACCTGAAGCCACCACCGTGCGTAATGTCGGATCCACGATCTCAGTGTCAGACTCTCGCCGGCAGCCACAAGGCCCTTCTCTTCGTCGGCCTCTATCTCTTGGCCTTCGGCAGTTCTGGAGTTAGAGCTTCCCTTCCTTCACATGGCGCTGATCAGTTCGACGACAATGACCCCAAACAAGCATCCCTAATGTCCACCTTCTTCAACTATCTCTTGCTCTCCGCTTCCCTCGGCGGCGCCGTCAGCTTGACTCTCGTCGTCTACGTCCAAGACAACAAAGGCTGGGACTTGGGTTTTGGGATCGCCACCATCGCTATATTCTTGGGTCTCATAGTCTTTGCCTCTGGATTGCCTCTCTATCGACTTCAGGTTGTTCGAGGAACCAGTGCTATCATTGAGATCATACAGGTAACTTGATTTCACCTTTGTAGGGTTTGCTTTCATTTCTTGCGACTACCCACTAACCTTAGGAATAAAGCACGTGATATGTGTATTTCTACCTTGTTTTGATTGTTTCAGGTCTTCGTTGCCGCATTTCGGAACATGAATCTTTCCATTCCCGAAGACCCCGCAGGACTCTACGAGCTTGAACGGCACAACGAAGCTGCCTCGGAAACAGAAGAATTTTTGCCTCACAGTGACATTTACAGGTATAATACGTAGTACATACATAAATATCTATATATTTCTCAAGTTCATTTCATCTTACTCTTCAGGTTCCTGGACAAAGCTGCCATAAAACCCAAACCCACAACAGAAGCTGGGAATTCTGGAGCTCCAAACCCATGGAAACTTTGCCGGGTCACCCAAGTGGAGAATGCCAAGATCATCGTAGGCATGGTCCCAATATTCTGCTGCACAATCATTATGACTCTGTGCATGGCTCAGCTCCAAACCTTCTGCATCCAACAAGGCCTCACAATGGACACCCATGTCTCAAAATCTTTCAAAATCCCTCCAGCATCCCTCCCAATCATCCCAGTCGTTTTCATGATCATCATCGTCCCCGTCTACGACCACATTGTCGTGCCTCTTCTCCGCAAAATCACCGGCATCCCCACTGGAATCACTCGCTTGCAGCGTGTAGGTGTCGGCCTGATTCTCTCCTGCATTTCCATGGCTATCTCTGCGGTTATCGAAGTCAAAAGAAAACAAGTGGCTAGAGATCACAACATGCTTGATGCTATACCAGTACTTAATCCATTGCCCATGAGCATATTCTGGCTTTCCTTTCAGTACTCTGTGTTCGGCATAGCTGACCTGTTTACCTATGTGGGGCTGCTTGAGTTCTTCTACTCAGAGGCACCAAAAGCTCTGAAATCTACATCAACCTGCTTCCTATGGATCTCAATGGCTCTTGGATATTTTCTGAGTACCATAGTGGTGAAGAGTGTGAATAGTGCCACCAAGAATATCACTAGCAGCGGTGGATGGTTAGCTGGGAACAATATTAATAGGAACCATCTGAATCTCTTTTACTGGTTCCTTTCTTTGGTGAGTTTCATCGACCTGTGTATCTATCTCATCGTTTCAAGCAGGTACAAGTATAGGCCTCAAGTTCAGGAAGTCGAAGTCAAACAAGGGGATTCCAAGGATTATTGAATATGGAGAAGATAAGTGACCGAGAATGATGAGATGTATAATTAGTGAAAGTTGAAGTTATTGCCGTTTTTGCTTTTTTGTGATGGGATGGAATAGAGGCGTGGATATTTCTTTGCTGCACAAGTTGGAAGTTGTTATTTAAGTTTATCCATATGTGTGAACCGTGAGGTTCTTAACTTTGCTTGGCTATTAATAAAAATCCCTGTGTGCGTGGAGTTTTCTATGTACGTAGTTTCTATGATGATGCCTAAAAAGTATGAACATAGTTTTTAATTATTTTTTAAATATTCTTTCTCAGCCGACCAATAATAAAGAGGGTATGACTGGGTTTAAGATAATTTGATGTCAACGCACCATATTTGCTTCATTAATTTCGACTCCCAATGCTAGCTCTCGTCTTGATTATAAGGTCTTATTTATAGATTATAAACAAAATATTATAATTAGGATCAAAGATGGTTAATTTTGACTCTCAATGCTACCTCCCATCCTGATTATACGATGTTATTTAGACTACAAACAAAATCTTCTAATTAGGACCAGAGGCAGTATAATCAATATTGTCAAACTCACAAGTTGACTCTCCGAGTTTAACGTTTTTACGTTTTCAGCTAATAAAATCGTATTGATTCACTCTTAAACTCGTGATAACTGTAAACTCGATTAAACTTACGAGTTAATTTACCGAGTTTACTGTTTTTACATTTTAAGCTTATAAAATTGTGTCAACTCATTCTCAAACTTGTATTTAATTTTTGGATTTGATTATGTTTAGTGACTTTATATATGAATTTTATAGAAATTTCTTTCTTGAATGTGATAAATTATAAATATTGATGGATATAATTTCAATTACTTAAATTTAAAATATATTGAAATGAAATTGTTCTCATTTTTTATATATTAATTATTTGATTATATATTTTTAATATCAATTTATTAATAAAAATAAATTGTTACGAATTCACGATTCAAGTTTATGTCATTTTCACGAGTTTATTTAAACTCACGAGTCTGACAACCTTGAATATGAGAGAAATAGAATATTCCAACATCTCTAGTAATGGAGGATAAGTTTTAACGAATTGGTCTCCTTTAGTGATTTGGGATCATTTCTTCGTTGCTTTGATTGTTGAAGGAAGTTAAATAATGGTATGGGGCTAATAAATCATGAAGAAGCCCCCCTTCCTTTGCGGCTGATGCCGTCAAAATACCAAGGGAGTCATTATAACATCCCATATTTAACGGGGAAATCCATGGCATGCATTTGGTCTCCATAATAAGTCATAATATCATCCTATAATATATCTATATTTAATATTTCAAATATTTACTTGAAAGTCAAAATATTATCCCATGCTATGTTATTATTATTATCTTTCATTAAAGGAGATGAATTATCCTTTTTCCCTTTTCTCACCATTTCACGTTATCGTTTTTTATGTCTAGACTAAATCTCCCGTATTTAATTATTATTTAAAAAGGGTAGCAAATATTAAGAAATGATGAAGTCAACTCTCTCTAACCTTCTTTTATTGGAAAATTTTCAACCTAAAATTCTACTTATATATTATCGCACTGAACAAATAAAAATTATATTTTTACTTGTTTGCATTACAATTACAATATCTTTAACTTCTTTTGTTGTTGCTATGGACGGTTATCTTGCTATTTAAAATAACAATACTGCATCCGCTCTTTAATATAAAAACTAATTAATTAATTTAACTAGATTTAAAAAATCAGTTAAGTTAGTTATTTGTAATAAATAGACGTTGTCTTCTCTAAAATACTCTTGCTAACCATGTGTATTAACTAGAATTATCATTTGACGAAACATTTAACATGTGAAACTATTACAAGGACAACCTTAAGAAAAAGGATAAATATAAAAGACAGAGTAGATTAGAATCTTATATATTTAGGATTAAATTAAATATTAAACCAACTCTCATATTAATATGTACTATCTCTGGTTCTTAATATAAGAGTTACTTGACTAATTTGAGTAGAAAAAAAATTAATTAAATTAGTTATTTGTAATATATAGGTGTTTTGTTTGTCCTAAAATATTATTGCTAATTAAAGTGTATTGGTTAAAACTACCATTATTACAAAGACTATTTTAAAAAAATAAATAAATATAAAAGATAAAGTAGATTGGAATCTTATATTTAGGAACAAAATAAAAGTCAAACAAGCTCTCATATTAAGAACTGGAGGTAGTATTGTTTTTTCTAAAATATCATTATTAATCATATGTATCAACTAGAATTACTATTTGATGAAATATTTAACATATGTAACTATCACAAAAACTACTTTAAAAAAATACATAAACATAAAAAACAAAATAAACTGAATTCTTATATTTAAAATCAAATTAAATATAAAATTAATTTTTATATTAAATATGATTAGCTATCTATGCTCGGCCATGGCAGGGACGAGGAACACGAGACATCTCCTAAATCTCACGTCGGCGGTCGGCCGCACTGCACGAAAATGATCGACACTGGGGCCCATAACATGAACCGGCTCCGACAAGTACGAGAGGTAGCGAGTATATTCGAAGGCCGTGGTATTTTAACCAGCATTTGTGTCCGTCCATCTATGCCATGCACAAAACCAACGGTTCAGGTCATCTTAAACCTCCGTAGCTGACAACTTTCTTCGATATAAAAGTTAATATAATGTTTAGCTTTTTAAATTTATTCTTATTTTGGTTTTAATTTTTTAAAATTTAAATTATAAGTTTTGATTTTTTTAAAAATAAAATGATCCAAAGTATTATCAAATTATAATGTAAGAGCTAATATTTTAAATAAAAAAAATTGAAAAACTAAAATTTATTATTTAAAATTTAAAAGACTAAAATTAAAATAAAAACAAATTTAAAAGATCAAAGTAACCCATTTTATAAACTACACACGGATGTTTCGTTCGTATTTACTACAGGGTCCCATGGCCAACTATTCAACTCTATCCTCCTTGGCGTCGCAGTCATTTTGCGCTGGCATTCTCCTGGACGCGCGTAATAATCGCGTCAGCTTATCGTCTCCTACCCCGCCCCTGTTCAAACCTGCCAAAGTTCCAAACTTGAGAGTTGTCCGTCTCAACTTTCATAATAAGCACGGAAGTCACGAACTCTCCTCCTTCATAAAACCCTCCTACTTTCCCATTTTCCCTTTCCAGGGGTTTGGCATTACGTGTTTCGCATTTGCATATAAATTTCCCAGAATTACGGCTTCAAATCTCTTTCGCTGGTATTGTGTTTTCAGAGTGAATTTATTGAGGTTTGTTGTTTCATGGAATCGAAAAACCCAGCCAGGTTTACACTGGGGAGGCAATCATCACTGGCCCCCGAAAGGCATAGCGACGAATCGAAGCTGCATCAAGACGGCGATGCCCTTGGAGATATTGATCCGGGATTTAGGCTGCTGTGTTTGGCCAATGAAGGCGATCTGGACGGTATTCGTGAGTTATTAAATACGGGGGTTAATGTGAATTATAGAGATATTGATAATCGCACGCCTCTTCATGTTGCGGCCTGTCAGGGATTGACTGATGTGGTTAGTCTGTTGCTCGAAAAAGGGGCTGTGGTCGAGCCACAAGATCGCTGGGGGAGCACGGTAAATACAAAGCTCTATCTCTTCTCCCTCTGTTATTGCACGCTCTGAGTTGATTTACTAGGCTAATTAAGTAGTTGTTAATGTCGCTGTTGTTGCTGTTGCTACTGTTGTTCGGCGACGTTCATGTTAACGAATTGGGCACGACAAATTTTTAGTTTAAAGACATGAACAATCATGAAAACCCTATTCACCAAGTTCAGAACTCGCCTTGAGCATACCAGGGTGACCATATGATTGCATTGAGATGAGGCCAGAGGCGCTGTATGAACATATACACTAGCAGAAAATCATCTGTTATAGTTTGACTAAGTTAAAACTCAGTCCTTGAGCTTAAATTTTGATTCGATCCCCTTCGACCTTCAGAGCAACTCAGTTCTCATGTTGTTCAAAATGTTTGTCCGTACATTTTAGAAAATGAAGCTCGTATGGGTATTGAGTCTCAATAAGTTAAAGTTTAGAGATTGAGTTTTAATTAAATCGAGACTATAAGGACTAAGTTGTATCAAATCAAAATTTAGAGATTAAGTTTTAGCTGGGTCAAAACCATAGGAATCAAATGATTAATTTTCCTTGTATGCTAATAATAAACAGCTTAGTCTGAGTTTCAGACGCGTAATGGGAGGCCTTTTCTTTTAAGAAATTTTGCATTGAGTCCTCTATCCACTTTACAAGGTGCTGCCGGACTGGGTAACTTGTTTCTATTTGAAGCTTAATGGAGGGCATCTTGCTCATATTGGGCATTCATTGGGCAGAAAAATTTCACTCGTGTGATTTTCAAATACAGGGGCATTTGTAACTTCGTGTTTTCTTACCTAAAGACACGTATATTGAGTATAAAGAGCAAGTGCATGTGATCAGTTTATCACCTTGAGAACTTGGTTGCTACTCTTGCTGCAAATCACGCATTTACAATTTCTTCACTGACGGATTCAGCATAATTTACTACATCCTTGTCTTTGCATTCTCTAAAAAGTCCTTCTTGGTCTTCTATGTGACTTCCATTTTACCAAAATTACTGTAAGTAATTACAAAATAATTAATTACTGGAAATTCAATGCAAATATCATGCCTCTTATTCAGCCTCTTGCAGATGCTATACATTATAAAAACAACGATGTGATCGATTTATTGGAGAAGCACGGAGCAAAGCCTCTGGTATGTGTGATTTGAGAATCTTGAAACTCTGAAGTTGTCGCTCTTATTTATCTTGCCAATTCAGCATTAGCTTGTACCATTCAACTGCTCTGTGGCAACTCTTATTATTATACCGTGTCAGGTGGCCCCTATGCATGTTAACCATGCACGGGAAGTACCAGAATATGAAATTGATCCTAAGGAGCTTGATTTTACCGATAGTGAGGAGATAACTAAGGTATACATGTGCTTATGATTTTATTTTACCTTATTTTCTGGTAGTTAATTTGATCCATCTTCCAAATACCTTCTTTGAGAACTTGAGAAACAGATAAGAGAAATTCACTAAATTGTGCCCGTTTATTTGGATCCCATGGACTGTTTCTATTTTTTAGTACTTAGATTGAGCATGCCAACAAATATTGGATACTAATGTCTACATGCATGAGTCATCTGTTAATCCAAGCACTGCAAATGCTTGATAGACTACTAATTTTGGTTATGTATATTTTTATGTCTCCAATTATTCATCTATCGGTCAGGGAACTTTCTGTAGTGCATTGTGGCGTGGAACAAAGGTTGCTGTAAAAAAGCTTGGGGATGATGTCATTAATAATGAGGAGAAAGTGTGGGTCATTTGTAAGCTTTGTTATTCCTAATAAATGCGGTATCATTATTAATACTAACAAAAGTACTTGGCATCTGACAGGAAGGCCTTCAGAGACGAGCTTGCCTTGTTTCAGAAGATTCGGCACCCTAATGTAGTCCAGTTTCTGGGTGCCGTGACTCAGAGCAGCCCAATGATGATTGTGATAGAATATCTTCCCAAGGTTTTTTGTTCTGAATTGCATGGAATTTGATCCTTAGAATGATCTTGAGGAAATTTTTTTATGTAAGTTGGTATAAGATTTTGCTTTTTCTAATTTTACGATTAATGATGCAGGGAGATCTTTGTGCATTCTTGAAAAAAAAAGGAGCTTTAAGACCAACAACAGCTGTGAGATTTGCTCTTGATATTGCTAGGTCATTGACACATTAATCTTTTAGAACTTTTTCCTCTTAAAAGTTTTCTTAATATGTCATGATGAGGAAGTTTTGTTCTTTTTGTTCGCCACATTGAATCAGTTATATAGATTTAACTATTTTTTTCAAGTTTTTGGGTCTTAAAAGAAAAAAGTTAAATACATTGCAGATTCGGTTTTGATAGCAGATTATTTCCAGTTGTACATGAATTAAGTTACTTTTTCTTTTTAAATTTGTGCTTCTTTGGTTTAACCTTTGAATGAGAACTGGCCAGTTAAAGGTTCTGCATTAGTTTGGAATTTGGATAATGGAACACAGTTAAGCACAAACCAGGTGCATCTTTTACATTAAGCACTCTCCATGTTTATCCTTATTTAGAAAAACCTTATTAATTACACTCCCCAGTTAAGGGCATTTAGGGAAAAACCTTATTAAGTACATCTTGAAAGACAAAAGAATGCCTTATGTTTATGAACATGATGCTTCAGAAAAAGTGTCTTATAAGTCTAAACGGAGGGAGTAGTAGTTTGTCATCTATGTCTGTATTACTGATTTATCCAGTTCAAAATCATGAAATGATATTGTATCTTGCATTGACTCTATTGATAAAGTGATAGGAAAACCTTTCTAAATTTGAATTTGCAATACGTCTCTATAACAGTCATACAGTTCTTGAACAATTATCCGTATGAAGGCTTCGTGATTAACTGCAAACTTGAAATTTCCTTGAAATATGCAGTAGCATTTTGCAAAGAGCTGTAGAACCATGTTTTGACGAGAAGGTTGATTTAGTTTGCCTTTTTATTTTTGGGACTTTGATGCAAGTGTTAATCCAGTTCAAAAGACTTGCTCCCGGAAAGTGAACATAAGACAGAAAAGGGAACCGTTCAATAAGCAGCTAACTCTAATACTAATGGAAGTTTGGTAGAGTGGTGGCTGAGAGAGCTAGTGATAACAGGGGAGTTATGAAGAGCCCAGGCAGTGAGAATGGTGTGAAGAATCATTTTGATGGGTTTCCCTTAGGAGATACTCTAGGCTCTCAAGTGCCCGAGAGTAAAGATTTTCAGTCTTTTATCCTTTGGCTTTGCATTCTTTGTTATGTTCTGTTGCCGCACTCTTTTATTATCCGCATTATTGAAGGTCGATAGTCTTGCAGCTTATACCTTCCTATGTCATATCAGCTGTACTTTTCTGGTGCGATGCTAGTTTTCTTTTGTTCCCTGTATCAAGGTTCCACCAAACTTGCATATTATTCTAATTGGTAAATTATAATGTCTTTCTCTCTCCGTGTCTTTTTGTCCTGTATGAGCGCAGTTTTAATTGATAGATAACACAAAGTTTGCCTGTGTATTCTTCATTGTCCTTACACTGTATGGAAACTATGCAGGGGAATGAACTATTTGCATGAAAATAAGCCATCGCCAATAATTCATCGTGACCTTGAGCCCTCGTAAGTTTAATTTCTCACTTACTTTTTTCCCCTTTAAAAAAAAATTAAAGTAAAATCCATGCCAAGAGTAATGTTTTCAATAAGATTTATCTGCTTTAATATCCTGATGTGGCCTGCACTTTTTAATATATATATCTTTTATGAGTAAGCTAACAGTAATATATTGCGGGATGATTCGGGCCACCTAAAAGTTGCAGACTTCGGGGGCAGCAAATTGCTGGCAGTTAAAGAAGACAGGCCTTTATCCTGCCAAGAGACATCTTGTAAGTGATGCTATCTTTTGGAATGCATTTCTTAATTCTTATATGATTGTCTGAATGCTTGAGACGTTTTAGACATCTACAGTGCCGCACTTTCATGTTCAGTGTAGAATATTGTGATATTTTATGAAGCCAAGTTTGAGATACCACTTGATGGATTATATTTTTAAAACTCGGACATTCATTACTTTTTATTCTTAGGCCGCTATGTGGCTCCAGAGGTTTTCAATCAGGAAGAGTATGACACCAAAGTGGATGTCTTCTCATTCGCTTTAATTCTGCAAGAGGTAATGTTTTCACATATTTTCTTTAATTGATGAAAGCTATAAAACTTGCTATTGAGTTATATACCTTTATGCAGTCGGTTGTTTGATAATTATTGATGAAACTGGAATATAAAAATCTTGTTAACAGTTTAGGCGCGAGAGTTGTCACATGAATTGTGTAGCGGATATCTCTGAATAATGACTATGCCTGTTGTTATGGTGCCTCTGTCTCCTAATTTAGCTGTTTGAAGTATGAATAACATTGCTATGTTTCTTCTTATTTCCTGTAAATTTTTACTTTTCCGTAAATTCCTTCTCCTGTTAGCAAATGCTCTTTAATGTGAAAAATGGAGAATCAACAAAGGTGAATTGAGGACCCAGACAAACCACAGCCCCCCTGTCGAAAATTTTCAACTAGTGAGTTACATGCTGAGAGCAATTTAGTGGTTATGGAACATTTCCACCTTTAAATTTTGAAGTTTTAAAATTGATTTCAGAGTTTTATTCATTGTTGCACTTGTTCCTAGAAATAAAAGGCGCCCAGCCATTTGTTCTGGTTTGTTTCTGACGTAGATCTTAACAAGATTGGTGAAGCCACTCTTCAAAACCAGATTGTGGTAAAGAGTCATGACAGTCAAGTACTTAAAGAATTACTTATGGCTGCCTATTGTGAGATTCCAATATTTTGATGGAGATCTTAGCAAATACGAGGAGCATGCCACTTGACTTTTACAGGAATTACTTGTACCAAACCCAATGTGCAATTCCATTGGTTTCTAATGAGTAATGAGATGAAACAAAATAAGTGCCGTAAGAAAACCATGGGATGTCACATGTCAATATCAACTTCTACGGACATCACATTAGATGTCATTTTTTGTTCGATGTCAAATTGTGAGTGTTAACCTTATGATATTTTAGGTATATTAATGGTAATCTTTTGTCAGAAGTTGATACCATGGGTTTTTCCCCTAGTAAATCCTGCTCTCTCTCTCTCTTTTTTTTTGGGGGGGGGTGTTTTGGCGGCATTGGTAAATTCTGCTATTTGAAGCAGCCTTGGTGATGATATATATTATTTCTTGTGTTTTAGATGATAGAGGGCTGCCCCCCTTTTTTCACAAAGCAAGATGATGAGGTTCCTAAGGTATATGCTGCAAAGGAGCGTCCTCCTTTCAGAGCTCCAGCCAAGCGTTATGGCCATGGACTGAGAGAGTCAGTTCCTTATCCATGTCAAATGGTGTTTCTAGCCTACGTTTTTTCCGTTTCGTTTATTTGCTGGGTTTTGAGTTACAGGATGTTAAACAACTTCATTGTAATTTGTAACTGACAGTCTTTTGCTGCTAAGTCTGATTTCAAAATTAGCATGTTTGACAGTCTCACACTTCATTTTAACACTTCCTGCTTCAAAATTATCATCTGAATGCGATAGATTAATTGGCATCTAATAATCTGTTGCATCTCAATGATTATTTGCTACTGCAGAAAAATTGGAAACCAGATTGTTATGGACTGATAATTTACATGTTCCCTGGCAAAAAAATTTCGGGCATTTTCACCCTACAAAATGCTTTAAAGCATCAGATACATGCACACGCACGCATGCATATTTTTTTCGGGTGAAGAATACAAACACATTTTTGCTTATGCTTCTTATGGTATCTCTGCTTACAGACTGATTGAAGAGTGCTGGAATGAGAATCCAGCAAAGAGGCCAACATTTAGGCAAATAATAACGAGGCTTGAATCCATGTACAACACTTTTGCTCATAAAAGACGATGGAAGGTTCTCTTTCTTTCTCTATCACCTCCAGCACGATGCACGTGAATTGACGTACTCTTCCTATGATTTATTTGAATTAGAGGTGCAAGTTTCATATGCTTGCAAACCCTTGTCCACTTTCCTGCCATTGAAAATTTCTTAGCTAAAGATGGACTCAAAGGTTGTTATAATAATTGGTGGTGTGTCCAGAAAGGGGCCCAGACTAGGGTTTTGTTACCATCACATGGGACATGAGGTGAAGGGTAAAGAGAAAGCAAGTTTTTCTTCTCTCTCTCTCTGGTTGTGGGGTGGGGCGCAGGACGAGTAAGGTAAGAAATCAGTGAGTGAATGTGCGGGAGAGCCCAGCAGTCTCAAACTGCCAGCAGCCAGTGTGACTGTTTTCTCTGATATTACAATTGGAGCTTGACCTCCATCGGTTCATCACCCAATTTGACGCCGGTTGGGTTGCTGCTGAAATAGCAGTAAACAATATGGGATTAATTTATCTCATTCGGAAACAATATGGAATTAATTGATCTCATCTCCTCCTAGTGGATAAGGCGCGATGTTGTTGTATTCTTATAAAGCACTTTGGTGGGCGTAGAAGCAGTTCGGGGATTTTGTAACTGACATTAGTGGTTGCTTGCTACGTGTTTCAGGTTAGGCCACTGAAATGCTTCCAGAATCTGGAAGCCATGTTGAAGAGAGACCACTCAAATTCAAGCAGTCGCGGCGGCTCATCTCGTTCTACAGCCAGCAGTTTATGAATTAAGCAAAAGAACGTAGATTGGTTCCTCACTTTGACTCTTTTCTTGGATAGGGGTTGGAATTGATATTGAAATATCATGGAAGCATTCTTTGTGTCTTAGATTTTCGAGATTCTTCGAGCTCTTGTGCTGAGCATTACCACATGTTGTAGCATATAAATATTGCTTTTAATATGTACGTTGTGTGTATAATGTAATAAGAATTTACTTCTTCACTAAACTAATGTTCCAACTGGGAACCAACATATTTCTGCCGTTCATGTGGAACCAAAATTAAAGAGACGGCCCTTGACAATTTCTGGTTAACCGTATCTTAGGCCGGACAAAATTTATATCATAATAAACGAAATGTAATACTCCTCCGATATTTAATATAGGATATAATTGTTAAGTTAGTTTTATCTTAAATATAAGATTCATTTCTCATATTTATCAATTTTTTCTAAATTACTCTGCTTTCAACTATAATCAAGTAGAAGAGAGAGAGGGTATTAAGAAAGATGATTATAGTGTTTTAGTAAAAATGTCACATTTCTTATAATTAACTAATTATCTGACTTTCTTAATCTAATCAAATTAGTTAAATGGGTCTTATATTAAGGATCAGAGGAGTACTATTTTCGGTTCTAATTATAAGATTTTATTTGTAGACTATAAGTAACATCTTATAATTAGGATCAAAGGTAGTATAAGAGCTAGTTGACAAATTTGAGTAAATTAAAAAAAATTAGTTAAATTAGTTATTTGTAATAAATATGTATTATCTTTCTTTAAATATTCTTACTAATCATATATATTAGTTAAAACTATTATCTAATAAAGCTTTTAATATGTGTAACTATTGTAAGGACTATCTTAAAAAAATAAATAAATATGAGAGATAAAGTGAATTGAGATTTTATATATAAAATTAAATTAAAAATCAAACAAGTTCTTATATTAATGTAATTAAATTAAGCTAGAAATTAAAATTTTGAAAAGCAAGATGAACGGCGAAATTCAAGCGTCAACTAAGCTCCCTCCTTCCACAAATAGATATGAATTGAAAAATCTCATTCACAAATACTCGTTAAGAATATTTTTGAAAGAAAAATTACAGGTAATATATATATATATATATCATGCGCCTTGATTTGTTGACTAGTCAACTGTATTTATTTTATTGAGGGTTAAATATTTAATTTCATTTATTGTTTGGTGCATATGAAAATCAATGGATTCTATGCGCCAACCCGATAGATACAAAGTTCGTGAAACAAACAAAAATGATTATATACAAATATGTACTATGCACTTGCAAGCTTCACATCATCACAAGTTGAAGAAATGAAATAGCAGATGAATTTTTCTACGATTAAGCTACAAATTATCATATTTTCCTACTAAAGAGCAAGACCACAAAATTGCCCCATGAAGCAAGTTTAAGATGCATGTTCCCTTTCCTGAGCAAAATCAAATCCATAAAGCGGTTGTGAATCAAAACCTAAATAAATTAAGAGAGGGACTCCATTTTTGCGAACACACAACGAATTTTCCCATACGGTTCGCCTTTTTGTTTCCTCATTTGGAGAATTTGAAAGACACAAGCTAACATAGGTGTGGTTTTACTTTGCTTCTGTATGAGAAAGGACCGTGTGCCTTATGGCAAAGGGCACTAACCACAAAGATGAAAGGGCATGTGATCCTCTAAGACTATTAATGGACACCAAAATCTAACATGATCTTTTCCTTTAGTGGGAAAACCCCACAAGCCTTCCACTGAATACCCAACCTTGTTATTTCCAGAAATATTTAATTTGCACGTAATTCATTTGTAAGCCACCAGAATTTGGTCTCAGCCTCTTTATTTGATATCTGATACTGTTCAAAAACCTCATGCATGGGGACAGATGAAGGGTAGGCGACAAAAAGTTGGCCTAATTAATACGAGGTATCTTTTAATTATTCATAATTGGGTTCAGTTTTTCTGTAAGTACATGAAGATTAAAATTCTAAATGAACAAGTGCCATTTTAAAATTGAAGTGAATTTTTATACAGTTGTCTGATATACTGCATGACGAATACTACTTAATCTAATTGGGGCAGTTTTGCCTGCAATTTTTTTTTTTTGGCCCCTTCATAGAGTTTTGAACCCTCGATCATGTTTACACAAAATCGAGTTCTTATTTAACGTAATTCTGGTGCCTAATTAAAAAGCATTTATGATATTATATACTACCTTTGGTCCTTAATATAAAACCTTATTTAATTTTTATTTTGGTCCTGAATATAAAACCCTAATCCACTTTGTCTCTCATATTTATATAGTTTTTTTTTTTAAGATAGTCTTTCTAATAATAATAGTTCTAACTAATATACTTGATTAACAAGGATATTTTAGAAAAGATAACACCTATTTATTACAAATAACTAACTTAACTTACTTTCTTAATCTCCTCAAATTAGTCAACCAGATCTTATAATTAAGACCGGAGGTAGCATCTACAAACAGAATAATCATGATGAAATTTAAAAATAAAGGATATGGTCGAAAAAAATTACCATTCTGATCATAACATATTGAAACCTTTATGTCACTCTTACTTGTTAGTGCTTGGCACAGCTATTTAAAAACGAAGGATCAAATCACTATCTTTTAGTAGTGAGGCTTGGATAATTTAGCATGAGGTCTTAATTAATTATGAAAAATCCTCCATTTCACCTTGTGCCGGAGATAAAACGATGTTCCCCTGAACCGACAAAGTCTTAAGTCAATATAGATCGCTTAATTTTGTGTGCGCGTTCCTGTCATCCACTTAACTAAACTCATTTCACTTCGCTTTAAACTCACAAGGACAATCTCAGTACTGCTAACGACTTTAATCTCCCATCGATAAGGTACAAGGATACTCGTACGAAACATTCAACCAAAGAAGAAAAAATAAACAAACTGATGTGTCAGCATTCAGGTTGTTTTTATCATCTATAGGAGATGACTTTCAGACTGTAACCCTGTGAGCTTTTAATTTACCTTACCCATCCAACTCCAGTCCAGTTCACTTTTTTGGCTTCTCTGTGTCATGAAATTATTAGCTGAGAGACCAGATGGCAGACTTGTTGTTTACTCCAATGTCCACTAGCTAGTTCTTCACGAACCATGTGACCTTGTACCTTCGTAACAGGTCGCTATTGTCTCATGCTATTCATGCAAAATACTTGGGGTAATGTTATACCTTCTTAAATAGTTTGAGTTTCAATATGGCAAAGCTTGTTTTATTTAAGACGGCTTAAATCACATATTAGGTACTTAGTTGACCGTGTATATGAAAATACCCAAGCAAGTTTTCCTCCCAAACTTCAACCGTAAGAGGGTCAAATTGCTAGTTCAGAACCCACGCTAAAAGCCTAAAAGGCTCGAGTCAAAATATTAAAGACTCATCCAAGTTCAAATATCCTTTAAGGTAAGATTTCCCTTGAATCTTCTGATCTTATCTTTGCTTAGTTTGGGAAGGAAGATACATTAGTTTAAGATAACCTGAATATGACAGTAATATACCATAAGAAAATGGCCAGGACTGGGAATATAGAACATAGATCATGTATGCATATCGACGATGGTTTGTGCCATTGTTTTTTAAACAATACAGTGAAGGAGAGGGAGGGGATCGTACTGAAGGCTGGAAACCTGTCTGTAACAGTACTAACATCCAACTAGTACATGTGCTTTTGAAAGGGCATCATTACCCTTTAAAATGGGAAGAAAAGAAGAGAGAAAGATCGATACATAACAAAAAACGTATTCAGCTCCATGTGACTACCAAAGCCTAAAGTAGGTATCATGCCTGAATCCTCACTCCACCAGAATATAAAGGAGAGGGTGAAGCATGAGAATAAGTGGTTTTTGTGAATGATTGAAATCCTTAGGCAAAAAGGAGAACTTTATGCCTTCCAAATCCGAAAGAACAATCAATGTTTTCAAACAAGCATCATTCACTTTTTTTGTAACAGTCTCCTTCAACTGAATTTGATAAAATCATGGAGGGTCACTCATGCTCCATTATATGTATTACTGCAGTAAGTTTCTGCAATTAAAGCTTGGTACCATTTGGGACACTTTACAGAAAAGCATCACAGCTAAATATCACATTAACATATAATGGTATAAACTTTTTGTTCATAGGAGAAAGAAGTACAAATTTTATTCCACTTCTGCATGCTGATCTATAGTTAGAGTGGTGGCAGTGGACCCTCTATTTTTATCTTCAACGTCTTTTTTAGGTCTTTGAATTAGGACCCATCAACTGAAACTTACAGGGCTTAGAGAGAGCATAAGGCCAAAGGTAAGTAAGAAACAAGAGACATACAATTTATGGATAGTAGAATTATGCTGTGACTGGAAATTACAAGCTTTATAGATCTACCCAATTACCATTGCGGGTTCTCTTTAGCAAAAGGAAGGGTTGGGACCAAACATCAGTGAACCTAAAGTAGAGTGGGATGAGAATAGAAAATATCGCCTGATATCACTTGAGCATTTATGTCTATCTTCAATATTCTTAAGTTTTGATGAAAAGAAAAAGAGACTGTGACTTTTAAGTAGGGCCAAGGAACATTGATGCATACTTTTGCTTATGAGTGGTATTTTTCAATACAGTTCTATTAGGTTCCGGCATAAACTAATTCTTATTTCCAATATAATAATTCAAGAAGAACTCTTGGAATTACTTGAACTATCCCCCCTAGTAATTCATTGTCATCTAACAAACTGCGCTTGGAAAATTCAGAGGAGAACTACCAAGATTGGAAGATAAGAATGATATAATGATTTAAGATATCTTATTTGGGCAAAAAATAGAAGTAATTAGGAACATTGAAGAGAAGACAGAATTAAGTTGGACAGCGATGAAGTTCAACACTATTGCTCAACTGTCAGTGGAAACAACAAGCTGCAGATTGCATAATTTGCAGACTTTAATAAAATCAGCTAAGGCTTGGTTGATGCTGAACTGAATCAAAATCTTGATCTGAAACTCTGCAACTTTTGATGCTGTATTAGGGTGGATAGGCCTAGTTAAATTCTGAAACACAATTAACCAGTCCAAAAATCGTACACGGCAAGTATATTAGGTGGCATTAATTCTAGCTTAAAATACACACAATGAGTCGCTAGGTTTGTTATTTCATGCCTTGGTGATATGGAGTTTCCTAATCAACTGCAAGTTTCTTGCAGACTCCATTCTTGAAGTTCAATCTATTTCCCATTTGAGCTAAGCTTTGCCATGAAGACGTTGGAGGTTGAAGCATATATAGGACTTGGGAATGGCATGAAATCGTAGACTAGCTTGAGGACAAGGAAGGTGAGATTGTAACAACCCCTATGTGTAACGCATTTATGAGATTAGGTCTTGCATTGAAGAATAGAGAATCGTGTAACTGCTCTGCGGTCCCATCGTCTGAAAAGAATATTAGTCTTCATGGAAAATACAGCTTGTACTTTGCTTCTCTTTCAACCTCACAGTATATATGGTCACATCTCGCTTCAATACATCATCCTCAAATGAACTTTTCACTGCATATGATATTATATAACAAAAATTCATATTCTTGTTCAGAGAACCAATAATATAATAATTGATTGGGTGGATGAAGAAAGAGGCACGAGGAATCAGAGTTAGCCTCAAAGTGGTCCTGAAGGTAGATATGGGCAAGATTTTCATGTTTGTGAAACACGGTAGTTTGACCCATGAGAATGATATATGGCCTTTCCGTTTCAAAAAGAAGAATTAGAATTGAAGCCATGAGTGGAATAGGGACGCTTAGAAAAAGTCCAAGAAATTTGACAGAGAACGGGATCGGGAAAGGAAAAAAACATGGAACCATAAAAAAGAAGTTCACTTCTGCAGAGATTATCTATATCACTGCTTATGCAGATGGATTGATAGAGATTGATAAGTTCCAGTATAATATGTGTGTTTGATGTCACTTTAATTGGTACCTCTTCCATGGCTTCTGCAAATAAGCATCCTGCCATTGCTACACAAATGTGTTTCTTACGCACAAAGGGAGAAACAGAAATGAGGCACAAATGCTCCGGAAAAAAAAAACACGCGCACGCACACGCACGCACGCACGCACACTCATTCTCTTCAAGTATATGCATGTTATATATGATTATCTATTTTCACGCCTTTCCCTTTACTTTTGTTCTTCATTGATTATTGATAAATATATATTCAAATTAATCAACTAGTTCTTATATTAAAGATTGGAAGGAATATAAATATATTGGGTGTTAATGTATTAGCTAATTAAAAAACACATGTCATATTTCTTATAATTAATTAACTTACATGACTTTTTTAATCTAATTAAATTAATTAAATAAGTCTTACATCAAGAATCAGATAAATATATATATGATTTCTTTTTTAGACATGATTTTAATTTCAACTAGATTTTTTCCATGCAATACATTGGATAATTAATAGTCTTAAATAAACATTTTTAGTTGAGGTATATTTTTACTTAACTTATCATTTCCTTATCATTTGTAGTTAAGAAAATGATAAGGAAGAGTGTGTCATAAACATATATATGGATTTTTTTTAGAGTACTATGCAATTTTTTTTTTTTAAATACACCATACTATCAAAGAGGCATATTTCTCAAAAGCATTAATTGGGGGAAAAAAAGAGAGAGAATAGAAACCATTTTTTCTAATTAATTAGTAAAAAGTTGACTGACGCATATCTCCATAACCCAAACAGAAAGGAGCTGATCCAGTTTGCCAGCACATAGCTTTAATCATGCTACTAAAGAACAAAGCATAACCAGAAGGGAAAAATGTGTTTTTTTTTCGTGGACCAGCCAGGAATACTGTTGCATACATGTACCATCCTTTCCAATCATTGATTTTAATGTTGAAAGGTACCTGACCCTAACAACTTGCTGTGTGTTAGTAATCTTTTATGTCCTTCAATCGATCTTCATAGCTGGCCTGGCAAAGGGTAAGTAAGTCAAATTCAACTCTTGATTTCCCAAGAATATGTTAGAAACTGTATTTTATAATGGAGTATAAATCTAAAATAATACTACAATTTTTAATATAAGACCTTATTTGATTTTTATTTTGACACTAAATATAAGACCCCAATTCAATTTGTCTCTCATATGTATATATTTTCTTTAAGATAGTCCTCCTAATAATAGTAGTTGTAGCCAATACATTTAATTAGTAAGGATATTTTAAGAAAGACAATACATATTTATTACAAACAATTAACTTAACTTCTTTTCTTAATCTCTTCGAATTAGTTAACTAACTCTTATAATTAGAACTGAAAGTAGTATATATGACGTAAATTTCAGGTGATTTTGTATAATTTAACTATAAACATGTGACACCTACATAAACATGTGTGTGTGTGTGGCCCAGATTGCCTGGAAGCTAGTACAGCAACTTTACTGGAAAAAGCTTCTACCGTTATATTTTTGGTCACGAAAGTATAAGGAAGCAAAGTAATGATAGGCGGCAACTTAGAAAAGCCTTTTCAGTCTTTTTCTTTGTGCAGTTTATCAGCTCTTTTCAAATCAAAGCAAGGCT